GATCTTGCTACGGCACGAAAAGTCCAAAAACGCATAATCGCACCGGCCCGCCTGGTGCGTTCCAGCCTGGGTTATGCAGTTTTTGCATTTATGAAATACGGAAACGCATACTGTCGGAAGGTTGTCTGTGTGTTCGTCCGTATTGATTTTTTATCTTGAGACCTACAAAAGTTACAGGACTGAAACTATGGAGACTCCATCTACGCGCATGTACGGACCCCGCATCTTTACAATGGCCGCTGTTACTCGTGTGGTGCTCACGTACGGGCCTGCCAAAGTTTTTGGTGGACAAGCCGCTAATCCGGGAACCAGAAAAGCTAGAAAGCTGAGATTTTCTCCCAACATATAGAACTCAGTGATTTCAATTTAAGCTCCAGGTGTGCGTGACCCTCGTGTACGGGCCAGTGGAAATTTTTGGCAAGTTGCTAACTCGGGAACCAGGAAAGCTAAAATTTGAAGGAGGTGTTTCCTGACAGTCCTGGCGGTCACTCTCAAGTCGTTTCGCTAAAACCATCTGCCGGAAGAACCGGTGCCATTAGCAACAAAAACCTGCTGGGAACTGTGCAAAAAACGCATCTTCACACCGGCATTCGGTGCGCTGGCCAATTATTGTTTTCTACGAGGGCACGTGGAAGGCACGAAAGAAAGCCAAATCGAAAGTCTTCTTTTCCAGTAGTGCTTCTTCTCCGGTGAATACGCAGAAACGAGAACAGATATTTTACACAGCGGAGAACAAACTTTTGTGTGGGTGTGATGGAAGTACGTCTCATCAGTATTGCATTCTTTTGTTTTTGTCAATTTCGGAATTTTCATCTGTGCACCATGTAGACTGCAGCTGGAAAAAGTACCTGTGCCTGTAATACCCTTCGACCCGCAGAGCAAGTTTCACCTTCATGGTCTTGAAAAATACGTACAATAGAAACATTTGAAAGTGACAAGTGAGATCAGTAAAAAAAGCATCAAAGAGACTCGACACTGGCCAAATCACTGAGATCTGCTCGTTGCCTTCGTCGTCTACTGTTACTCAAAGAGACCCGTTTTAGACTGAGTTTTGACCGTGTGTTGCTGGCTGAGGGCATTGAAAATGATACGGAATTGGGCACATCTGGCGCAAAGGTAATCGGCGATTCATTGCTTATTGGTTCCACACGTTTCCGTGATGGTGAGGTTTGTAGTGGTGCAAATTCCGGACCAAATGTATTGGAGCGGAATGTTGCTTTTGGCCTCTGAGACTCGGATGACAGGGAACGAGAGCGCACGTGAACAAGATTGATAACGTGAGTTGTCGCGGCTGGCCTTCGTGTTTGCCACGAAATCTTCCGAGGCAAATTCGACGCTTCGCCAGCGTTCGCTGCAAAATGCTCACTTTTGTCAGTGACGTGCTAAAGGGGAGTATTGGCGCGGCTTCCAAGGTCTTTGGATGGCACAGGACTTCCGACTGCGTTAAAAAGCGGAAGTATGTCGGGGGAAGACGCTGCCTTTGCGTGTCAGTTGGCGGATCCATGATGGTGACAGAAACCATCTCTTTTTTACATTATTTTTTGTTTCCGTCAATTTTGCGCGAATGTCGGGTACCCACGTGAGGACTAGAATACTGTACATACCAGACGCACTTCGCGTATCGTTTGCGGAACGAATCGGCGACTGCGCACTATGCACCGTCAACGGAATTATTGAAAAGGCGCTTGCATTGGCGCAGTGCATCACCTGCAATTTGCATACTGCAAAGCCAGTGACGTAGCTTGGATCTCAGACGAAGAGGAGGCACCGCTTTTATATCTCATCCTCTCCCCTCCTCCTACTCAAAAGATAGCTTCCGCCGGAAGTGCTGCAAAATTAGCTTTCGAATTTCTCTAATCTCTCTTTCTCATCCGTTAAGAAAAATTCCTCTCCCAAGGGAAAACTAAGATTGTTGGAAGGATCGCCGTCTAACATATTTTTAGCAAATTACCCTTTAAACAATCAACATTTTCAAATGCAACAAATCGACAAACGGTGCAAAATACGAGAGGAATTGAGGGTACTACCTGGACGAGTTGCGGCGATGTGGTGGGAGTGAAACTGAACGGATCTCTTGCCTCGGACTGCCCTGTATAGGGAAATACCGATTCAGATCCGGTTGAAGAATGCACATCGACGCTGAGCCTGTCGCCATCCCTAGGTGCCTGGTTCTCAACATGAGCTGTGCTTGTCATTCGACGGCCTACAGCAACGTGATATCCAAATGCCTGAATTGATGAATACATATTAGTCGGGGAATGCCCATCACTCGAAAACACTGATGAAGGCATCCTACGAAGGAGCATCATGCAAATCAGCTAGCAGCATCGCTCGTCGTCAGGAGATCGGAAGTAAGTTGTTCGGCGTTTTGGTCATTAGATAGGCCCAATACTTTCAAAGTGAAAATTCCCAGGGGGAAAGAGATAGATTTCCGATTTCGCCATGCCTTTCAAGTTATTCTTTTGGATCGCTCTTCCCAGCATTCACTGTCCCGATTATCACACCGGATAGCTGCTAATTTATATCAGAGTGAACCTGATAAAATTCGGCGGGGTGCATAAGTTGTTTTTTAGTAGAAAAACCAAACAAGCAGAAAAAAGGACTTTACCTTCAAAATATCACTTTTGCACATGGGACAAGTCCTGTGCTCCAGGAGCCATGGATCCACGCATGTCTTGTGAAATATATGCCTGAAATTCACAGCGAAAATCGTTAAAACCTGTGAAGCGTGAATAATAAATAGTCACAGGCATTCAGAATAGCTGTGAAAGAAACCAGATTGGACTGACCTACAAGGTAGCGAGCGAACAATATCGCCCGCTCGATATGGGTCGATGCAGACCGGGCAATCGGCGTCCAGCTCCTTATCGCCAATCCTGATCGGCCTAGTCGGGATTCGGGTGAGCGCTTTCTTCGCTGCATTAAACAATCGGCGCTGAAGGCGATCCTTGGCATGCGCGTAACGAAATCTAAATTACTGTATTCCTGAAGCAGTAACACATCTAAAACCGCAGACAGACATAGAAGCAGTGATATCTCAAAATGGTTAAAACTTCGTCCCGTGACTGTGGCGGACGTGGTGTTGGCTGAGCTGGTAATCCGTTTAGGAGACAGTGGAACGGTCACCAGGGTAGAAGGCTGACCACAAAAAGGCGAGCATTGCTCAGAGCAACTGAAAAAGTTGCCAGTTTCATAACTAAGAAACAACGCGATGAATTGCAGCTGGCCAAAGTATTAAAACATAAAGTAATCTGCACTGTTTATGCCTTGCTAAGCTATAAACACACGAGCGTTGCGACTGATGCTTTTCGAGTCTTTTTTTTCATTCGATGGCACATTGCAGTGGGATCGTGTCCTTATAAGTATGGATATTATAAAAAGAAGGTCCGCTTAAGACTAGGCTCATTACGAATAGGTTCAGACTGTGATATCGCAACTCCCATAGATGGACATGGGCTAAACTTAGGTACTGTAGTGCCTTCAGATACAGTAATAGCAGTGGCTACTTAAATACTGTAATGGCTGTGACGGCTTTAAGTACTGTAGTGGCCTAAATATTATATTAACTTAAAAGCTGTAACGAAAATTGTATTGGCTTTAGTTCTACAGCTTTCTTGTCGCCAGAAATGCACCATTTAAAGTTAATGCTTCCAGGATGAGACCATAAAATTGAACGATGAGCTCTCACCTTTGTACATAGTAAAATACAAGCCAGGCGAGCGAGATGACCATCAGGATGATGAATGAAATCGAGACAAATAATACGGATGTCTTCGAAAAACTGCGCAGTGCGTCACTTTCGGCGCCATCCACGATCTGACAATCGTCCAGAGCAATCGGTGTCTCTTCCTCGATGAACGCGAAGCGAATCTTCTTGTCACTCTCGATACTGTTCACCTGTCGAAGATTGACCCCTCGAACTATCACAATTAACGATATCTTGACATCTTTGAGCATTCGTTGCAGGTACCCGTACACACTGCTCAGACCGGTTGGACACTCCGTACAATTACCGCATATCGTGATGATTTGCTGCAATTATTAGTTATCAGTTGCTTTTCACTCTCATCCACTGATTTGCCGTTGTTGATCCCATTCAACCGGTGGGCTTAAGGCATTGGCAAATTGTACTACAGCTTGAAGTTAGTGATTCGAATCCGCTGCTGAGGAAGCAACTGATTAATTTGTCCTGTCAGTAGATTAGTATCCATCATTAGTTCACTTGTAAGCAACTCTTGAATGAGAGAGCCTTACCAGCGGATGGTTTCTATTGGTACGTGTTGCTCTCGGAATCCATGTCTGTAGAAAGCGAATGCGCAAGCTTTTTGACTTTGAGATTTAGCACGCCAGGGAGTCAGTTCCGGCATCAGCCTGTTTTAAGCAACAGTCGAATGAGAAATCAATCGACAGACTTGTTTGCAAATGGTTCCTGTTAACAGCGTGCTTCCACTCGAGCTAATTCCATGCTTTCCGCTTCTCAAAGAATTTTGATCTCATGCATATATCTCACACCCTTCCTTTGTGCAAATGCTCTGGACAAAAATCCATTAAGGGGTAATTTGAGTGAATTCAAAAACAATCCCCTAGCCTGAACCCGCATTAATAAAACACAGTGCATGTACGAGGCCCAGCCTTACTGGACTAAACCAAACTGTATTTTAGTAGTTTCTGGTCCGGAGCGTTTGTACGCTGTACATTACGGGTTGAGTATATGGCGGTTCGCCGAAGAACTCAGTACAGAAACGAGCAGCACGATGTTGGGAATAAAGCGCCCCAGAAAACTGGAGCTTTCGAAAGGCTAAGGAAGGACTGCGTTTGGTAGGAAGAGGAGGAGGGAGGATAGAAGTTGAGTACTGAGGCTACGGCACCAGAAATTAGCTACAGTAGGATGACATGAGAGTAGCAAGCAAGCGGGAAATCAGGCTAAAGAGTAACCTGATAGCTGGTGAACGAGTATCCGGTATGTGGCCTGGCTGTGCTCACCAGCCGACAGATATCGCCACCGACGATCTGTTCAAGTGGTACGTAGACAAGTCGACCGGTCGGAAGCAAGCTGGAACGCGCTGGAGGATCGAACGACAACTTATTGAACGTGGCCGCGCCACACTGCAGCGACTGCTGCGTTTGTGGCTGCTGCTGCTGTTGCTGCTGCTGAAACTCATTCCCTCATTACACGTTTCGGCTGATACAAAAGGGGACAATCATAGGACTTCTGCAGAATCAATGCATGTGCAATTTTGATTTACATTTGTGCGATATAAGGAATAACCGCAGCAGTCCTGTGACTAAAAAGAAATCCTGCGGCGGATCTAAAGTCTCTTCGCGAAAAAACTCTGAAACACGCACAGTACTCGCCACTTGCTGCGGGGTTCACTTGAAACATGGATAAGATATCATTACAATGACTGAAAAATCCCAACGCACAAAATGCAGCAGGATGCTAGTGACACAGAGATAGCGCAATTTAGGAATTTGATTTCCCCACACTCGCACTGTATAGCTACAAAAATGGGTTTCGTTGGGGATTTATTTTAACATTTCGGTTAGCTGCAGTTGACGTCACCTAACATATATCGGTTTCCAAATGTGCTTCCGGAAACAATATGTGAAGAAGTTCTGTCTGCTCAACATAATCTGCACACTCGAACACCGAACCATAAATTCAGTATAAGTTCTGTTTTGCTTTCCCGTACCAAACTACACCCTTATTAGTGGCTTAAATTTTCATCTCACTCCGAAAGCTTTCTGCGCACAGCAGTTACAAAAGAGGACGGCGAGCCATTGCATGGACTTTCCATGTACTTCATCCTGAACTCCATCAAACTGATTGCGCTTCAGCAACAATGATGGCATTAAAAATTAAACTTTTGCATATTAGCTTGCGAATGTACGGTCATTCTTTCGTAGGGCCCCCAGTATCTACATCAGCTGGGTAACGATCACGAGGGATTTGGCTGTAGGGTGGCACAGACTTACTATAAGTCTACTGATAATCTATGTATAATTCAGTCCGTGCACATTACTCACGTGACAAACAAAATTATCTGCAGATGAGATCCTTGATCGAAAGCAGCCGGGACCGCCACTTCATAATTGTTGATTATAGCAATTACAGATGAGAATTTAAGGTAAACTGACCATCGGCACCTGTTCAAACGAACCAAGG